CACTACTACAGGATCATCACCCTGACCTTCCCACGACTCTCTCAGCATACGAAGAGGAGACCGCAGTCTGCGGCCGTAAACAAGTTCCGCTGGCGTAAACCCTGTTGTCTCATGTGGTGCAGTTCTTAGTGCAAACATCGTTGCAGGTAAGCACATTTTCCAGTCAGTTTTCCGTTCAAAACATAAGGCTCTTAACACTCGCTTCATCACGGAGTGAAACTTTTCTATCGAGTTAGACTGCGGATGGTAGACTGAACTATGCAATAATTTCACGCCACACCGCTCTAGAAAGGTTGTCGTTAAGGCACTCGTGAAAATGGTGCCCTGGTCTGATTGTATCTCGGCAGGAAAGCCTACCCGGGCAAACACGGATAGAAGTGCGTTCACTACTTCGACGGAACTTAGCTCTTTTAGCGGGACCGCCTCTGGAAATTTAGTAGCTGGGCAGATTAAGGTCAGGATGTGACGGTAGCCTGAAGTTGTCTTGGGCAAAGGACCTACTGTGTCAATTACCAACCGACGAAAGGGCTCAGTGATTACGGGTACCAGCTTCATTGGAAATTTCGCCTTATCTCCCGGCTTACCCACTCGCTGACACACATCGCAAGATTTTACAAACCTCTCTACATCTTTAAAGCATCCAGGCCAATAGTATTCCTGTAAAAGACGATTTTTCGTCTTCTTTACGCCTAAGTGGCCTGACCATGATTCTCCATGCACCAAACTAAGCAAATCCTGACGATACGCCTGAGGTACGACTACCTGGTCAAATTCTACTCCTCGCCTATCTAGATATTTTCGATAGAGTATGCCGCTCCTCTCTTGGAATCTCACATTTCGTTTGGCGATTCCCTCTTTCGAACTGTCCTGGAATTGCTTAAGCGTCGGGTCCCCCTTTTGTTCGGTTATTAATGAAGCGGGACTCACCTGCAGCAGCCGACTGAAATTATCCGAAGTTGGCATGACACACAACTCTTTTGTATTTCCTAGTACCTGGAATGTGTCACCCTCTGTGCTATCCTCTGTACTACCAGGAATCGGCTTGGGAGCAACGGCATTTTCTATTTGCTCGGTCAACGAGGCGTAATTGACCCCTTCCAATTCGGGAGGAGGTTCAACGTCGCCTTTAGGAATGGTTGCCTCCGCGACTACGGCTTCTGCAGCCTGTTCTCGCACAAGTCGATTTGTTACCGTGGTGTCCAACTCGCAACCAGTCCCGTTGTCGATTTGAGGCCTGTTTGCCTCAGTGAATGATGCTCTCGCAGCTAGCGCACGTGCCTTCGATCTAGTCAGTGCCTGCACTATGCCTTCTCCCAACGCTAGACCTTTCTCCTTCAGCATTTGATCTGACTTATTTGAAAATAAGTAAGGATACTGAGGGGGTAGATATGGTGATACCGCGGCTTCCGTTTCCAACGTACCAAATGCGCCTTTAAGGACAACTTTAGCTACGGGGAGGCACTGACTGTTTGCTTCTACGGCTTGTCTAATCCAGGCAGTCTCCTGAATACTGTCCGGACTGAACGGATGAACTACGGATGAACTACGTCCATAGTGGCTGCGGAGTCTCTAAGAACCCGACACTGCTTGCCGTTCACGGTAAGGTCGTACATATAGGGCTCTAACAACTTCATGTTCTCGTCGGCTTCATTTATAAATAAAAAGGCCACCTTTTCTTTCGGGCAGTCTTTCGCGAAGTGCCCTGTTTCGTGGCAATTGAAACAAGCAGCCGGTTTTCTCGCCTCAAATTTCTTTTTGCTTGCCTCTGCCGACGCCCCATGGTTAGATGAATTGTTTTCCTCACCCTTTTGTGCGAGACTTGTCGGTTGTTTTCTAAACGGCGCCTTCTTCGGTCGTAGGAATTTTTCCCTTTTTGGCTCGCTGCTTGCCCCAAGGGCGCGGCGCGTAACGAATTCTTCAGCGAGCTCTGCGGTTTTTGTTACGGTGTTCACGTCCGGTCTATCCTGCACCCAGAACCTCACCTTTTCTGGTAACCTTTGATAGAATTGTTCCAGACCGATACACTCGAGCACCTTGTCATGATTCCCATATGCCTTTGCCTCTTTCAGCCACTCCCCCATGTTGGCCATTAACTTGTAAGCAAACTCCGGGTATGAATCATTGCTCTCTTTTACGGCGTTGCGAAATTTTTGTCTGAAACCTTCCGCTGACAACCTGTATTTCTTGAGAAGGCTCGACTTTACCTCACTGTACTCGTCAGCCTCCTCTTTCGTGAGGCACGCGATTACTTCTGAGGCCTCCCCCGGAAGTAGGGACAACAAGCGTTGAGACCATGTATCCTGGCTGAAACCTTGCCTTTCACAAGTTCTCTCAAAGTTGACGAGGAACAGCCCAATGTCCTCCCCTAGCTTGTACGATCTCATTAGGTCCGTCATTTTGAACCTGGCTCGCTCTGCTGTACCGGATGCCTCGCTGCCTCCTGCTCTACTATTATGGCTAATCTCTAGCTCGAGGCGCTTCATTTCAAGCTCGTGCTTTCGCATCTTATCTGCCTCGGCTTCTGCCGCTTTCCTTTCGGCCTCCGCCGCCTTTGCTTCGGCCTCGGCCGCCTTTCTTTCGGCCTCGGCCGCTTGCCTCTCCTGAATCTCCTCGACACATTCTGACAGCTCGTCATCCGCCCCCAATGCGAGAATCGCCTCTATCAGCTCTGGCTTTCTTTGAGAGTCCGACACCTCCAGATTCAACTCCCTTGCAAGAAGCAACAACATGGACTTTCGCAGGGATTTCAGATTCATGGCTGCCTCCAGTACCGCTGTCTCTGTTCCACAAAGATTCCTGTCCTGCAACTAATTAGCCTTGACGGCAACGACAGCTCTAGATACCTGCCTTGCCTCAAGTTTTCCGTTAACTTAGTCTACAAATAAAGCTTCAAAAGCTCTTACACGGAATCCTGCCCTGCCACTGTTAACCTTGACGCCACTGACAGAAAGAGCTTAACCAAGCTATCACACAATTTCCGCCTGACGCAAGTTACCTGTTAACACAATGACCAAGACAGCCCCTCTCTACCAGCTTTTACTTAACACATAGAGTAAATGCCTGGTAAAATTTAACAGAGAAAGCCGGCACTCACCCAGTTCGCAGTCATGTCTCCGGCGTCGTGCCTCTCAGAAGTGCCGTTCGATTCCCTTTGGAAGTCGATGAGCTCGTGTAATCCTTCTCCTGTCGTCCCGTTGTTGAACTTCGGGCTCACTCCGTCCAGTGGTCGCTTTCGGGGTTATCAGCATCCCGCCGCTGCCATCCAGTTGTTGGGACTCCGGGTCCTGCCGGTCTCGTTTTCGGTAGCTGGCCCCGTCGCAGGATCCATCGTCCAACAATTCAGCGAGAAAGAAGCGCCCGAACGAACAACAGAGATTTATTTACATATGGAGAAGTGGTCAACTGACCCAATGAGAGAAGAGTGCGTGTGATACAAAACGTCTTCGGCATTTTATAGCGCCACGTTGTTGACACTGGGCGCCTTGTCCGCATCGTCAGCCAATACGGTGTCGCCGGCACCTCGGCCACGAGGGAGGGAAAACACCTCTCACAACACAAGGAGTGGCACAACCCAACACGAGGTCCATATATGGTCCCGGCGCCCCAAAATGTTACCAAATATGGTCACGAACGCACAGCAGACCCCGTAGCTCTCCCGGCGAGGAGAAACCCGAATGGGGAGGTGGGGGTGGACGACACCGTCAGGTCAAGAACCGATTCTCCCCCAAACTCTCCCTGCTTGGCTCCCCAGGGAGAGTTTGGGGGAGAACCGGTTCTTGACCTGACGGTGTCGTCCACCTCCCCCTCCCCATTCGGCTTCCTCCTCGCCCGGAGAGCTACGGGGTCTGCTGTGCGTTCGTGACCATATTTGGTAACATTTTGGGGCGCCGGGACCATATATGGACCTCGTGTTGGGTTGTGCCACTCCTTGTGTTGTGAGAGGTGTTTTCCCCTCCCTCGTGGCCGAGGTGCCGGCGACACCGTATTGGCTGACGATGCGGACAAGGCGCCCAGTGTCAACAACGTGGCGCTATAATATGCCGAAGACGTTTCGTGTCACACGCACTCTTCTCTCTTTGGGTCAGTTGACCACTTCTCCACATGTAAATAAATCTCTGTTGTTCGTTCGGGCGCTTCTTTCTCGCTGAATTGTTGGACGATGGATCCTGCGACGGGGCCAGCTACCGAAAACGAGACCGGCAGGACCCGGAGTCCCAACAACTGGATGGCAGCGGCGGGATGCTGATAACCCCGAAAGCGACCACTGGACGGAGTGAGCCCGAAGTTCAACAACGGGACGACAGGAGAAGGATTACACGAGCTCATCGACTTCCAAAGGGAATCGAACGGCACTTCCGAGAGGCACGACGCCGGAGACATGACTGCGAACTGGGTGAGTGCTTGGCTCCCCAGGGCCGGTCGTAACAACTCCAAAGCAAAATTTGAGGTTAAATGGCTTTTATATAGACACTGGTTTTGAGTCTATGCATTTATAGGTACTTGCAGGAATTTTGGTACAAACCTTAAGAGATAGCATTTATTTAGAGGCACAATAAAAAACACTATAGAGGGCCTCCTTAAGCTCTAATTTGTGCTTATAGATAAAAGGGGCATGCTAAAAACGCAGGAAACAAAATAGGCATTTTCCTATGATCCAGTACCTAGTGATTGCAAGGTGTTGCTTTGTTATTTTCACAAAAAAAAATGTGGAGGGTGTGAGTGCCAACTTAGTTACGGGGGTGGCCTCTAGGCTATAGTAGAAAAAGGGTGAGCTTGAAATGAACGGGCATTTCTGCTGAGGACATGCAGCATGTGTCTTGAATCCACACTCCTTGGGCTTTAGCCTGCATCCTCAACTGCCTCGGCTCGAACCAGCCTGCGGCACTTGTGTGGAAAAATTTCATAGACCGAAAACGGTAGCATCAGCTCATTTTTCACGAAAAGAACATCAGACCACTGTTAACAGGCAATCAGTGCTTAAAGAAGTGACAGTAGGAAGCTTGAAGAGATGAATTTTTTACTTCCATGTTTCCATCTAATCCATTGGAATGCCAGCAGAGTCTTGGGTAACAGTGAGCCGCTTTGCAGCTCCTCGCACAAAACAAAAAATGCTCCTGGCGTGTGACATGCCTTTCTCTCATCAATTCCTCCTCGCCTCCCCGATGATGCGCAGAATGTGCAGAAAAAGGTTGATGATGTCCAGGTATAGCTCGATGGTCGCCAGAATGTACTCTTCGGGAGAGACCCGATGCATCAACATGTGCGTGTCGAAGATGATGAAAAAGGAGAAGAGCACTGCTCCACCAAGTGAGAGCACAAACTCGAGGTGACTGGAGGTCAGGAAGAACTGCAACATACTCCCCAGCAGCAATACCATCAGGAACGCATACAGTCTGCAGGTAAGAGCAACGACAAACAATTATCGACCGGCAGCACACACAACAAGCGCAGAAGCTACACAAACATTGTGGATGAGACTGTGAAAAGTCCTGTTAAACAGAATTTTAGTTTGGCTCAGCAGGCTGTAAGTAATGTGTACCACATTTAAAATAAGTAATGTGTACCACTTTTAAAATAACTCCCAATAAGCCTCACCTAGGACTGTAACACATAAAGCTACTGCTTATTGAATATGACCCAAATATCATAACATTGACACCAATTATGTAGCTGTAACTTATATCACTAGATGGACTGCATCACAAACCGGCAAACCATTACTCCCATTAAGACCAGTTCGTAAGGACTGCAGTCATTTCTTTATCTTATCAGAAGTGCAACCCCCCCCAAGTGCAACCCCCCCCCCCCCCCCAAGAGAAAAGACGCCCTAGCATTCTAAGTACACCCAAATATCTTATTTCAAAACACTGAATGGGGTAGACTTTACACTGTAGGCAAGAGGACAAAAAAAGCATATATTTGGTTCACATTGATAAAAACTATGCCTTCAATTGAGTACTTACACAAATATAACGAGCACCCGACTTCAATGGTTTAACATAAGCATGCTTGTGAATACACTGCCACCACATTTTAGCTATTAAATTGTAGCACACCCCTATGATGACAAGGAGAAAGAAAAAAAATACAATCCCAATTCTCTTCAAAAACTTGGATAATTAATTATTCTAGAACGTAACTATTCTGTCAGCCTTATTTATTGACTCTCACATCTCTTCAAAATAAGCATTAATCACATTGTCACGGGGTTGTGACGTGGACAAAGGAAGCAGACAGTAGGTTCAAGATCAAACTGTTTATTTTGCCAAACTTGAGGCCAGTGAGCAGAAAACCAGATTACAACGATACACACACACTGGCACTGATGGCAGCGCACAGAGCGTCGGCCATCGATAAACTCACTAACAGTGACACGCATAGGCATTTATACATGTGCCGTTGAATATTCTAGCAACACTGCTAGTGGCCACACAAGTTCTAGAACAAACTGCAATGTTCGCATTGTGCATGTAATCACATCGGAAGGTTCCAAGATTACATCAATTGTTCTTTGTCAATCGGCGCAGCTTGCTCAAGGCAGCGCTTACAGTGGAGCGGGGCAATAACAAAAGTTGAAGGAATGTGGCAATATGCTGTTACCTAGACAAAGTCAACACACATATGGTGAGCTGCTTGACGAAGTGTGCAAGCTTTGATCCGAGGTCTGGATGTTTTCCTATTTCTGGCCCACAGCAACTTTTCCTGATTGAAGTGCAGCTGAAGATCTCTCTACATGCTATTCACGGTTTCAAGCATACAAAAAAGACGCAACACAGCTACAGTCGACTCCCGTTAATACGAAGTTCACGGGAACCGCAAAAAACTTCGAATTAAACGAACTTCGAATTAAGCAAAAGGCACTAAAAACGGCACTTTTATTAGTTTAAAAGCGCGACAGTTTTGAGGAAAAATAGTCTGTCATCTTCTTCTGCTTGCCGAATCTGGCTGCGGCTAGCAAGTTTTGTAAGGAATACACGTGTCGAAGTGCTTCTTCAGCGTTGTGTTCTCCAACAAAAAACCGCTGCGCAAGAGCAAGACCCGCAGCTACATCGGCAGCCCTCAGTGGTGGCTCATTTCCGATGTCGTCGTCATCATCGTCATTTTCAGGAATGCAGTCATGGGGCCGAACCATCTGCACGATTTCGCTGTCCGTTAGTGGACCGCATGTTTCGACGTTGCTGTCCACAGCGACATACTCGTCAAAACTGACGTCACCGAGAGCGGCGCGAAAGCTACCGTCGTCCAGCTCATTTGTTTGCACTTCCACTGGCGCACAAGGAGAAGCATCCCCCGAGTTTTCCATGAAACCACAGGCCCGGAAACAATTGGCGATGGTTTCTTCTTTCACGCGGGTCCAAGCTCGCGCTAGCATGTTGATGGCACTAAGCAAACTCACCTCGTATTGCGACGAGTTGTCCATGCACAAAAGCCTGCGCTCGACGAGAAGCTGCCTATACAATACCTTCACATTTTTTATTATGCCTTGGTCCATGGGCTGCAACACGGACGTCGTGTTTGCAGGCAGGTACACAAGATGGATGGCACTCAAGGCAGGTACGTTCATGTGGGCACTACATTGGTCCACAAGGAACAACACCTTACGGCTTGATTGCGCGAACTTGCGGTCGAGTTTGGTGATCCAGTCCTTAAATATATCGGATGTCATCCACGCCTTTCTGTTCGAGGCATAATCCACAGGAAGCGTCTTCACGCCTTTAAAGCACCTAGGCTTGGCAGCCTTCCCGATCACAAGCAGGCGACACCGTTCTGTGCCAGTCATGTTCGCCGCGACTAGCACTGACACTCTCTCTTTGCTTCTTTTGCCTCCAGAACAGTCGTCGTCTTTAAATGTCAGGGTCTTGTCCGGTAGCAGCCGATAAAAAAGCGCAGTTTCGTCTGCATTAAAAATGTCTGCCGGCTGGTATTCTTCGAGGTACTCGCGAAGCTTGCCCGCTTTCCATGTCAGGCATGTTTCCTCATCGACTGACGCCTTCTCCCCACACACGCTTTTAAAAATCAAGTCGTGGCGATGTTTGAAACGCGTAAGCCACCCATCCGAAGCAGCGAAGTCGTTGATGCCCAACATTTCAGCAAGCGATGACGCTTTTGCCGTGACGACTTCACCACTGAGAGGAAGTTTGTTGTTTCGTGCCTCTCTGATCCAAATCAGTAGTGCTTCCTCCAACTCGGGGTAGGCGCCGGTGCGCATCTGCTTCCGCGATGTCTTGAATTTTTCACTTTCAAACGCATCCAATATTGAGCGCTTATTCTTTATGAAAGTCGACAGCGTGTTAGGCTTAATGCCGTACTTTCTTGCAATGTCTTGTTTGGCGGTGCCTCCCTAGTTAACTTCCTTCAAGACTTCGACTTTCGTCGCTAGGTCTAGCGTTCGGTAAGGGCCACGAGTTGCCATTATCAAACATACGTCACCACCACAACACTCAAAATCAGAAGCGCGGAAACACGTGTGGAATCAACCCAGTGCGCGGGTGACGCGGTGACACACTCGAGTCTCAACAAAAGTCAACTAAAGAGTCAGTCGATGCCGCCGATGCGATTCGTTAGCGTTAAAAAGATTGCCGCTTCAAGATCTGTGGCGCTGCGGACAGTAGTGATGACGAAGACACCAGCGCGGTCCGGCAGATGTTTTGGCATATGAAAAGTTCCCCATTTTACTGTAAAATTACGGTCGCGACGAGACTGTCGATTGAAAAAACTTCTAATTAACCAATATTATGGGTTTTTAACTTCGAATTATCGAGCATTTTTTTCTACACGATTGCATGCAAAACTGATGGGACCACTTGCTCATTTCTAATTAACCGAAACTTCCAATTAAGCGACTTCGAATTACCGGGAGCAGACTGTATATTCAAGTGTGCAAAATAAACTTCCTTTGTCGTGCACTTACATAACGAAAATGGCACATTACAGTTTAGACTTCACTGGGAACAGACACGACACCCACAGGTCGTACACATACCAATGTGAACCAACTGCAAAATATTGTCACATTCCTTCCTAAGTTGTGTTACCTCACCGTTGCTAAGTCAATAACTTTCAGCGCAAACTTTGCCTACAGTGCTATAAAAGCTTCAGGCCTGTAGTGGATCATTTTGTTAATACTATGTGCACTTTGCGAACATTACAGATTATTCTGGAACCTACATGGCCGCTAGCAATGATGCTAGAATATTCGACGGCACGTGTATAAATGCCGACACGCTTTACCACTTGTCAATTGATCGATAGCCCACGCTCTGTTCGCCACTGTCAGTGCCAGTGTGTATTGCTGTAATCTGACTTTTCATTTACTGGCCACAGGTTCGGCCCAAATAAGTAGTTCCATCTTCTACCAACAGTTTGCTCCCTTTGATCACGTAACCCCGTGACAGTATGCTCAGCCACCATTGCGTTGTGACAGCAATGACAACGCATCTCTAACCCTTCTGACAGTAACCCTTCAGACAGGAGTGCTAGCACCACACAGTCGGTTTCGATTTCTTACTCAATTCCAGTGTACAGGCAATTTTTTTTTGAACTCGTAGTCACTTCCGTCTGGCTTTCTTTTTTTCTTACTCCAGCCATACTTGCCTCTCTGTTCACTGAGATGAGATGGTCCCATTAAAAGACCCCTAAAATATGTTTAGGTCCTATAGGAGCCCCAAGCTCTTGTGTTCTTCCATTCGCCAGCTGGGGAACTGAACAATGCGGGGCGAATACAAAAAGATGCAATCAATTGGTGGTCCCAGTAGTAAATCCCCCGCTTTTTTTGCTTTCTGACAAATCCAGCACCCCCTCCCTTTCAGCTGAGAATGAGGAAGATATTGGCTTTATCCAGTGGCCTTTCTTTTTTACATATGTCACTCCCTTCCTCTGCATCTCAGTGTACGTCGTGTCAAAAAAGCGCATAAGGTGGCACATTTTTTCCTATCTTTCTTTTTGCTTCCTCTTGTTCACTTCAATGTTCAATTAAGACTGCAATGTTTGTTGCAGAGAATCACCAGCGTGGTCAGTCACTACAAATGTTTGCCTTAACAGATAGCGGACACCAGGAAAAAGGAAAGGAGAAAAATATTCAATTCAATTTATTTTATTCAACATCTGTCAGATGTCTGGTGCACGTGAGCTACATCACATCGATTGGCCCCTTAAACTGGCATGTTCCAGTTTAGTTTTGATGTTTTTTCATAAATGTATGTCAAAGATGTCTACATTTGAATGCAACATTGCATTACACAACTACAAAGTGAGTAAGTTTGCTTTTCACACATCAAAAAAGAAAGAAGTTGGCAGGATGACACACCTTCTGTACACTTGAAGGTGAAAGACTTTGCAAAGACATGATAGGTTGCAGTGAGATAGACATGCATTAAATTATCTTAATATTACCTACCTATGGGTTCACTTTAACATTGACACCTTTTCAAAATTAACCTTTAACTAATTAAGATTAATCAATACACATAATTAGGTATAGCATCTAATTATTCCGGACATCATTAATTACATCTTATATATTGATGCACAGCTTTTCTGGCAATAGCATGGGCATCCTACAGCCACTGAGAATTTTTCGCTTCAGCATGTCGATGCCGGGTTTCTGTAGATTGCTGCGAACTGTCGAGCATGAAGGACACCTCCACGCATGACATACAAGGCATCCGCCTTAATAGATCATTCAAAGACTTACCCTGCCCCCCACGTTGAGAAGTCCCGTTTGCTCTGGAAGGTGTAGAGCGTGAGACCGCCGGTGACCCCCAGCGTGAGCAGGAAAGCCTGCAGCACTGCCATCTGGTCGTAGAAGGACACTGCAAGGAGACAGTACGATCTATAAATAGAGCTCGGTAAAAACGTCTAATGAAACGCCCCGTTTGCCACTATCAGTGCCAGCGTGTATCACTCTAATCTGACGTCAGTTTACCGGCCGCAGGTTTGGCCCAAATAATCTTCTACCAACAGTTTGCTTTCTTCGTTCATGTCACGGCCTCGTGACAATATAGCAAAGTGATTGCAATATAGCAATGCTGTTGCGATCTTTTGATCACTACTTGGTTGTCTCCGTGCAACCGCACTTCATTCTGTTGGGCAAAGACTTCCATGGCTCAGCATTTTTGCTCTGCGTTGAGGTGCATTAAATCATTGTTTGCATTGTTTTCTGCAGCATGGCAGAGAATGAGTGGAACGACTTTCCCTAAAACATACTTTCTCATCCAAATCATGACTTGTTTTCTCCTACCATACAAAACTTTACGTAATAACACCGTGAATAAATTTTGTATATACAGTCAATCCCAGGTATATTCAGCTCTGTTATATCGAATTATTCGCTACTTTGAACAGCTGATCATCATCATCATCATCAGCCTGACTACGTCCACTGCAGGACAAAGGCCTCTCCCATGTTCCGCCAGTTAACCCGGTCCTGTGCTTGCTGCTGCCAATTTATACCCGCAAACTTCTTAATCTCATCTGCCCACCTAACCTTCTGTCTCCCCCTAACCCGCTTCCCTTCTCTGGGAATCCAGTCAGTTACCCTTAATGACCAGCGGTTATCCTGTCTACGCACTACATGCCCTGCCCATGTCCATTTCTTCTTCTTGATTTCAGCTATGATATCCTTAACCCCCGTTTGTTCCCTAATCCACTCTGCTCTCTTCATAAAGTGCTTCATAGTGCTTCCATAGTGCTTCATAAAGAAAGCAACAGAATACCAATCAAGAAGGGTGTAAGGCAGGGGGACACAATTTCCCCAATGCTATTTACCGCGTGCCTACAGGAGGTTTTCAGAAGCCTAGAATGGGAACAGTTAGGGATAAGAGTCAATGGAGAATACCTTAGTAACCTGCGCTTCGCCGATGACATTGCATTGCTGAGTAACTCGGGGGACGAATTGAAACTCATGATTACGGAGTTAGACAAGGAGAGCAGAAAGGTGGGTCTTACAATTAATCTGCAGAAAACGAAAGTAATGTACAACAACCTCGGCAAGGAGCAGCGCTTCGAGATAGGTAATAGTGCACTTGAAGTTGTCAAAGACTATGTCTACTTAGGGCAGGTAATAACCGCAGAGCCGAACCACGAGATTGAAGTAACTAGAAGAATAAGAATGGGGTGGAGCACATTCGGCAAGCACTCTCAAATTATGACAGGTAGTTTGCCACTATCCCTCAAGAGGAAGGTATATAACAGCTGTATCTTGCCGGTACTTAGCTACGGAGCAGAAACCTGGAGACTTACAAAGAGGGTTCAGCTTAAATTTAGGGCGACGCAGCGAGCAATGGAAAGAAAAATGGTAGGTGTAACCTTAAGAACAGCTGATACATCCCCTTCAATTGTGCATGCAAAAGTATGAAACTGTTGGACACATATACTAGTATTGAACTCTCGCCAAACATAATATCCAATATATCTAACACTATGCCGGGCCAAAGCCCAGACAGTGCATTTATTGTGACAAATACTGCTCATTTTTCAGCCATATTCTCACAATTTGATGCGTGACCGCATGCAGATGGTGAAAATATGGTCTAGTTCATTGGTTGCACACTGTTTGCAAGTGCATCGGCAAGCGACACATTATCTCTTGTAGGTTGTAATGCTTGGACACACTGTTTCCAAAGGAGCCAAATGCCGAGGGCACCGAAATCTCATGCATGGGAAGTTCCTCAGCTGCCTTGTCGCAATGCGCTCGTTCCTTCTTTGTTCGCTGACGCATGATAGCTCGCGAGCTCAAAAAGCATGGCCCTCAAGATCTGTAAATGCCAACATATTTTTGACATTTTTGGTTATAAGATACACATCTCAGAGGCTACGCTTTTTCTTGCTTTTTGCTTGCTTCTACAAAGCCTCCAGTGTCATCCGCATCACCAATGTGGGGGGTTCATGGTCATTTCGTTACTTCTTTGTGGACAGCGTTGTTATTTTCGGCTTGAATACATCAGTAGGTTTCGCTTTATTACACTTGAATTTTCCATCAGGAGTTAAATTGAATATTGCATCAATCGTAGCGATAAAAATATTGACTGGAGCTTGGAACAGCCTGAATCAAGGCACCATCGTGCTTGGTTTCCTCGTGGGCTTTTGGTGACATGTGAAGACTTAAGTGTGCATCATCTTAGCTGACAAGAATATACAGTCCTCAGTGAATTTCGCTACTTATAACCACTTCGAGGCACCACTTCGGACAGGAGTACATCGGTGCCGATGACGACATCGCTGTTTCTGACAGCATCAATGTTGATATCGTGGCCGACGTTGCTGGTGCCATGGAAGTGGACCCGTGCGGTTATGAAGATGCTGACGCCGCCGTTGAAAACATTTCATTGCTTGATTAATGAGGATGACTTGAACATGATGGCGCACAAAAGCAAGGCAAGTCTACAGACTATCTTCACTCAAAATAAAGTGCAGTAGCTTGCAAAAGAGCTGTCACCTTTTCTTAAGCATACTGTGAGCAAATCTTCATGTTAACGCTTGTTATGGTTTCTAAAAGCCATTTTCAGAATTGCAATGCATTAATATAGGCCTGAAACATGCATATTTCTTATATTGTATATCAAGCTACAATAAAACCTCATTAATTCGAACTCTGTTATTTTGAAATCTTGCTGAATTCAAAATATTTATGTGGTCCCATATTTTACTATGTAAGTTTGACCAGTTAACTTGAAGTGACAATGAGCACCAGTTCGGTTAATTCAAAAACTTTGGGTGCCATGTGCCAATTCCCAATCCCAATTTATTTTGCTGCAAGTCCAGAAGAACGGCGGCGATTAAGAGCCACAAGGCAATGCAATGTACCGATACTAAGGTAGTGGCAGTTGAAACACCCCAGCCCCGATATTTCCAGCACCAAAAAGAAAAGAGAGATAAGAAAAAAAATGCCTCATGGTCAACCGAAACTTGCACCTGCAAAAATGTGCTTCACAGCAACACAGCAGTGGCGAGTGGGCAGCTGACTGCGTGTTTCTCGCTACATCGCACGTCACGGTTTACTCATTCTTTCTGGGATTGTAAACAAATTTAATAAAGAACAGTTTGGCACAATTTGCAATCGGTGCAAACCTCTGATTGATTGTTGCTCCAGCAATTTGCACACTTACACAGCTGGTGGAGTTCTTGCCTGCAAAGCCTACTTTGAAAGTTTCAATGATCGTGTTCTCCGGCCAAACATAAAGCGAATTCTTTATTTTATGCATGAATGGGCGAATGGTTGCATTATGACGTGCTAACGCAGCGAGATGCAGGCGACATGCTGCCTGCGTGTTACCATTGTGTTGCACTGAAGAACGCCTTGTTTTGCACAGGCGTGCATTTCAGTTGATCACGACAGTTTTTTTTTTTTTTTGTTCGTTTACAACAGTGAGGCCGGTAATTCCTCCATGTTTGCAGCAAAATTAATACCAGGTATTGTGAGAAAACATAACCCTTGGAGCCGAAACCTAGCAGGCACAGCAAATGATGAGCCCTGATTATTTAGAACAATTGCAAATTCCTTGCATCCTGCTTTTTATATGTTCTATTCTGTCTTGTAAAACTTGCTTAATTTGATGATTTCTTGCAGCCCCAGTAACTTTGCATTGATGAGGGTTGACTGCATTTTACGATCCCCTTAAGTTCGATATATCAGGGATGGACTGCATATATTTTTTTGTACTTTGTTTGCCCAATGTTTCTGATCATGCTTACACTTGCATTCAGCTGTACAGTAAAACAGCTTTATAAGAGACGTGCTCTGGGCAGCAATTCTTGTCTTTTATAAGAGATGTCTTTTATAGGCAAGGTACCTCATATGCATTTTTTTATAAACCTGTATTTTACTGTAGGCACATTGATGTCTCTTATGTCAGTGTCTCTTATAAAGGGTTCGACTGTACTGCCTAGCTTTAAGTCTTCATATCTCTTTATTATTTTGATGTTACCATATATACTCACATAATCCTTGCACTCATATAATTTTCGCACCCCCACATTGCCCAACGAAAGTATGACTTTTCTTCAACGAGTAATTATCGCGCGCCCTAAAATTACAGCAGTAATGCCATCTGCTCATTTCAAACACAGGTTACGATAGCACACGACAGCGTGGTACCATCTCTTAAGCATCATGCATGTTATCAATGCATGAAGCCCCAATCCAAGCTAAGTCAAAGTGGCAAGTGCACATTGAGGCATGTATTGTACGTTGTGTCAGTTCTGTGCTTACTGCATGGGGCAATACAGGAGCTACATGGTGTGGGAATCGAGGCTAGCCCGCCACCTTTGCGCGGGCTTTTCCGCCTATTTCTGCCATTCTCATGTCCTAACATGACTCCTCTCCTCCGCTGTCTGCCGCACTGGGAGGGCGAGGAGTAATGTCTAACCCTCTCTCACCCGGTAGCAAATGTCGATTTAGGCGCCGCGCGAGGCCTCTCGAGAGGTTTCGTGCGCGTGCATCGGGAGTGAGTCATTTCTCCAAGACAGCTTACGGTGAGCATGCACTTCCCTTTTCCGTCCGTCGACTCCCGTTGTTTGAGGCTCGTCGGACTTCACCGACTATGCCTTGCACCCGAGGCGAACGCTCACCTTTTGTTGCCCCTTTGCGTACGCTCGGCCTGAAGGGGGGTACGGTGTCCTAGTGCGTGGCCAAGCTACACCGACCCGTATCTCTACGAAGCCAACGCAAGCGCCTTTGCCCTCGCTCTAGCAAACGCACCATTTCATTGATATTTCTAGGATCAAGAGGGTCAAGGTCGAAGTACCAGACTTCCAGAACTCTGCCAAAGCATCAGTGGGGTGGCTCTGAAAAGAGCCGATGAAAAAATATGCA